TAAAACGAAAACTGTTTTTGATAAGGACTGGAAATCCTGAACCTGCTAATTGAAGATTTAAATCACTTGTTTTCCTCAAATATTTAAATCACAGTGCCTGAAGCTCAATTTTTTTAAGTGAGAGACTCAGGCCAAGTCGAGTTGAAAACACAAGAAAAAGTAGGCTTCAGAATTCTGATGCTATCGTTGGTCATGAGTATAACTAGAGGTGACAGTGAAGCTTAAAAAAAAACTGTAAAGTTCTCATTTTCCATTTTATGTCATAGAAAGTAGGAAGTTGATAATGATTACTTGTTTTTTTAGTACAGAGAATATTTTTTTTTATCAGCTTTTTACCGGTGAAAATGCTTGATATAGTCATAGGAGCTGACTTTTCTTTTGTTTACATAGGATTTTGACACTTGTAGTAAACCAAGTCAAATTATGTTCAGAACGTTACTTTTTGATGTGTTTCTGTGAACAGTGCTTTCATCTTAATTATGATAAATTCTGAGGATTTTACATTCATGGTTATTCCAAAGAAAACTCATGACCCAGATAAGTATGTATTTGATATAACCCTTATAAATAGCTGTTCATAGGTTATTATCTTAATAGCTCATGACTTCTGTATTTCAATTTTCAGAAGTGTCTGGAAGTCTGATGATACTATTACTTCCCAAACTCAAGAGCTGTTCATAAAACTATTAACTTAAAGGCGATACTCTTCCTCATAAACTTTTGGAGAAAACTATGTTTTTGCCTTTCTCATTTATCGTGATAAAGTCTCCAACTTAGGTGACTACACTGGAACGTTGAGCTGTTGCATTAACAACAAACGTTATAGTTGAGTCAGCAGTACCCTTTTCTGCTTGTGGAATGGGAGTTAGGCCTCCTACCCTGGGATGCTTGGGAGAACAAGCAGCTGAGGGTTCTCCAGTGATTCGTGGTTGGTTTAGGATGAGACAGGGAATCTCACAGGAGGCTTCCACCAGTTCTTCTCTCGGTTCTGATTCCCTCCCTTATTTTTCCACGGGAGCAGATCTGGTGGTTTGGGTTCTCCATTTTATCTAAGCTGGCTCAAGAAATTGACTCCACAACTGGAGATTCTATGTGGCCTCTTATCCCCTGGGCTGGCTGCCTCTAGTGGAAGAACAGTGCTAGTTGTTGATACTAATGGGGAATGTTGGAGGTCAGCCACCTGAGGGGTGATTTCCATAAGCACTGATCTCATCTCCATGATCTCATCTCTCCGGCCAGTTGCACAATGTCTCATACTTGGAACCACAGTTGTTGATGGGATGCAGGGGCTGGGAGGCACATGGTCCTCTCCTTGAGGTTGGTCCTTCTTTCACGGAAGCACCTACTGTAGTGTTTCGGGGCTTCAAACTTCTTTTCTCTTTTCCCCTCCCTGCCCCTTTTCTTTTCTTCTTTCCTTTTTTCTACTAGATTGAGTTCACAGTTAAACTCTGGCTATCTGGTAAATTTAATCCTGAATTGAAAATTGAGGGAAAATGTCCTGGACTCTTTTGCTAATTTGCTTTGTGAACATTAAAAAGTTATTCTGCTTCTCTGTGATACCTGACCGCTTCTGAAAAAAGAGACTGCACTGTGGTGTTTTTTTTTTTTTGCAAAGTTATATGAGAACTAAAACATGATAAAAGTAAACTAGATAGTGATAATGTCTTCATTTAATTTTTCCCATTCTTGTTTATTTTAGTTTTTGAATATGTAGAACATTAACATGCTTCCAAAAGTCACACTTATTTTAGAAAATATATCCAAAGTGGTGTCTCTCCCTCTCCTTTTCCTTCTCCCTACCCCTTGTGGGTAACCTAGCTCATTGGTTTCTAGTTTATCTTCTCTGTCTTTTTGCAAAAGTAAACATATACATGTATGTTTTCTTATTTCCTCTTTTTCTTACACAAAAGGTAGTAGACTATATATACTATACGGTATATATAGTGTATTTATATATGTGTGTCTGTGTATATATATATATATATATATATAATTTTAGACTTTGCCTTTTTTACTCAACAGTATACCCAGGAAATTACTGTGCATCAGTTCACAGAGACATTCCTCATTCTTTTTTCATAGCTGCATGGTATACTTCATTGTGTGTATGTACCATGATGTATTCAACCAATCTCCAATTTTTGCACATTTAGGTAGTTTCCAATATTTTACAATTACAAATAATGCTGCAGTGAATAATCTTGTGCATGTGTATTTTTGGATTTGTTGAAGGTATATCTTCAGGGTAGATTCCTAGAAGTGGGATTATTGGGTCAAAGGTTGAGTAAGACATTCTGCTTTATAGTAGGTGGCCACTTCTGAATTCCTTCTAGCAATGGATGAGCGCTGGTTTCCGTACAGTCCACTCAACAGAATGAATGCTCAGACTTTTGAATCTTTGCTAATCTAACGGGTGAAAAGCGGTATCCCAGTGTAGGTTTAATTTGCATTTCTTCTATTGTGAAGTTGAACACGTTTTCACGTATTAAAGTTTGTCTTTATATTTTTGTCTTTTATGACTTGTCTGTTCTTGTCTTTTGTTCTCTTTTCTCCACAAGACTTTTTATCTTTTCCCTTAAGTTAAAAAAATTTTCTATATATGTATGTTTATACATATATAATATTAATATATAAACATATACAAATTTGTATATTATCATTTAACTAGCTATTTATTCATCTTATATGTTGAAAACACTTTCTTTCAATTTGTTACTTGTTTTTTTAGCCTTGCTTATAGTGTGTTTTGCCATGGAAAAGTTTAAAAACTGTATGGTCAAATTTATCAATTTTTTTGTTTTGTCAAATCTGCTTAGAAAGCCTTTCCCTATATGTGTGTTAGAGACTAATGCCTATTGTTTATTGACAGCTTGCCATGTAAAAGGTACTGTACTGAGGACTTTTCTTATATTAATATTATAATGTTCAATCATTGAAAGAGCTCTGTGAATTACTAGCAGACAGTGACTTTAGAGCCAGATTGACCATGAGTAACTCTTAGCTTCACTACGTACCAGCTTTATGGCTGTCACATGGTATCTGTATTCTCTGAGTTTGTCTCATTATCTATAAAAAGGGGATAATAATAGCATTAACATCATAGGGTTGTGAGAATTACCTTAGTTAATACCTGAAAGGGCTTTGAACAGTTTCTGACATCTAGGCAGTGTTGAACAACAGTTGATTATTTAATTACGGTACCATAATATCTCAGTTATAAACGTAAAGATTATAATTTAATGCTCCCTTCTTCAAATTAAGCAAAATTCTGTCATCACTTCAAATGTTTATACTCCTTTTACCGTAAGTCTTAAAGGTTACCATGTAACATGGTATCTTGTTTTCTCACACATTTTATCTTGTTGTTACTTGTGTCAGATACTCTGAATCTAGGGTTTCTTATGGAATAGCTCAAGGAGGTTTGAGACTTAATGACAAGAGCAGATTAACTGTAATTCAAACCATTAAATTGTAATTTAACTATAACCATTTAACAGTATGTTAAACAGTAACTGTAATTTAACAGTAACTATTAACTGTAATTTAAACCATTAAAGCTCGGCCAGGCATGGTGGCTCACGCCTGTAATCCTAGCACTCTGGGAGGCCGAGGTGGGTGGATTGCTCAAGGTCAGGAGAGCGTAAACCCAGCCTGAGCAAGAGTGAGCACCCACCTCTACTATAAATAGAAGAAATTAATTGGCCAACATCTAATATGAGTATAGAAAAAATTTTCCGGGCATGGAGCTCGATGCTTGTAGTCCAGTTACTCGGGAGGCTGAGGCAGGAGGATGCGTTGAGCCCAGGAGTTTGAGGTTGCTGTGAGCTAGGTAACGCCCACAGCGACACTCCGGCCCTGGGCACCAAAGCGAGACTCTGACTCAAAAAAAAACAAAAAACAAAAAACCATTAAAGCTCATGCTATTGTAGTTCAAATATGAATAGTTACTTATATGTATCCTGCTTTCTAAAATATAGTATCATAAAGTGAAATTGTCTGTCCTAGAGTTCACCAGGGATGAATTCAACGTTTCTTGAAGGAACATGGTTGCCAGCCATGCGTCGAAGCCAGTGTGGCACCCTCATCTGCCAATGGTGGAATCCTGTAGTTTTCAGGAAGGATTCTTGATTATCAGAGCCTCATTGATAATGCCTTGAGCTGGGAATGTCCTGCTTATGCTTGCTTTTTAATGAACATTATTCCTATTTTAAGTCATTTTTAGTAAGTTAGTTTTGTGGGTTTGTTTGGTGAATCCTGTAGCGTTTGCCTACGATTTCTCAGTCACTGGACTTTGAGACCTATGTGAGTTGTTTTGTAAATATGAAACATCTGCCTTGATAAAGCAGATACATGAGCCTTAACCCCCTTCCTATTTACTTCTATGCTGATAGTTCATTACTGCCATCATGTACCTTTTTGGTTTTTTTTAGTAGAAACATGGAATAGGTGTGGTAGGTGGACCTGTGGTCTTTTGATTTATCTCAGTTGCCCATGGCCAAAAATTTAAGAGCCATTGTCTTAGATATTTTAGCATTTTCACCTCTCTATTGCTGGCCTAGTGAATAGTTTAACTATTCATAGTTTACTTTCTAGTTTATCCTTCAACTTTAATTCTGTAATCCTAGATAGTATTCTTCTTAGGTAGCAAACTATTTTAGACGACAAAGCATTGAAACCATTATGGTGAACATTAGAAGTTAAATAAAACTCTGCCTTTAATTTGCTTGGTTTTGAATGGCTGAAGTGTCATGCTATAGTATTTTTCTGAATTTACTTTGTTTGCTAGATATTGCAGTTCTTATTTATGCGTTCTGCTCGAAAAGCCCTGGCATTTTAAATTCCTACAGCACTTAAAATAGAGAGTACTCAATATGAGTGCTGGTTTGATTCTTCTTTACCCTTCCTTGCCCATATTTTCCTCAATATCGTCATGATTAGAAACTTTCATTCATTTCAAGTTATGATGATGTTGAATATATGGTCCATTTTTGTGTCTTCAGGTTACCAGAGAGAACTTCCTTATCAGAGGAATAGGCTCTTTCAGTGCCTTTGGGAATGATGACCTTCTGGAGCACTTGGTGATGTTTTTGCCAACTGGACAAATCCGTGGTGTGAATGGGCTTTCACTAGGTCGCAATGGGCCATGAACTGGATAGACATGTCTCTGTGTATTATAGACTGGGAGGCTGCTGTTCCCATAGCCTGGCTTTAAAAGAGATTCTCCTTTTAAAATGTTATTTTAAAACATTAACAAGTCAAATGTTTTTATTTAGAAATGATAAGTCATAAATCCACATTTTTTGCATTTGGAAAAAACAGCAATAAAAATAGCTTATGATGATGGTGCAGCTGATAAGGAAAAGTGGTTAGAAATACTGGGTGATTGTGACATAGCTTTTTTCTTAATCTGACATGGATAATACAAGTGTTTTGTTAATATAGTCAACATAGTTTCTTTAAGATTATTTTTTGTGAAAAACGAACAGTTAACGGAATTACATATGAACATCTGGAGTTTCCTCCAGACTGGAATATCCATGTAGCTGGTTTTGGACAATTGATCTCTCTTCTTGCACTTATCTTCAATTTCCTGTTTTCCCCCTTGAAAGACTAGCTGTATCAGTCAGGTTAGACCAGGTGTGCTGTGGTAACAACCTCCCCCCTAAATATTAGCAGTTTATTAAGGAAGGTGTTTCTTGTGCGTGCTGCATTTTCAATTTGGATCAGCAGGGGGCTCTGCAGTCATTCTTCAGCCGCCACCATCGTGCCGGCTCAGTGGGAGGCTGCAGGCTTGCTATAGCCTAGAAAGCCCAGGAGTCTGCAGCACTGGCAATTAGATATTTCAGCCTGAGTGGAACATTTCTACTTCCTTTATCACCATCAGAGCTTGTTGCATGGCCATGCCTAACTTCAAGGGGGCAGGGAAGTGAATTTCTCTGTGTACCCAAAGTAAAAGAGAACTGGGTATTATTGCATATTAGTAATGTCTACCACACCAAACCTTTTATAAGATGAAACAGATCTGCTTCCAATTTTCTCTTGGCCTGAGTCAGAATATAGATCCATAAATAGAAAGGTTTCAGTATTTTATTGCCTGATGTTCTTGTCACCTCTATATAGTGTTCTGTGGCAGGGATTGGCAAACTTTTTCTATAAGGGGTCAGATAGTAAATAATTTAGGCATTTCGGGCCACGTAGAATCTGTTGTGAATTTTCCCCTCCTCTCCTTTCTCTTCTTCCTCCTCTCCCCTCTCTTCCCTCCCTTTCTTCCTCTCTTTCTCCTTCTCTTTTTTTTCCTTCCTTCTTTTCTCTTTCTTTCCTTTCTCCCTCAAAAAAAATTTCTTAAGTGGTGGTGTTGGTGGCAGCTGGTGGGGGGTGGTGCACACATAAACACACCCTGGGCTGGATTTGGCCTGATTGTCAGATTTGGGTCAGGCAGATTTGGCCCACAGGCTGTAGTTTGCAGACTCTTGTCCTATAGGAGAAGAAATATCCATTTTCCCCACTTTAAAGTACTATAGTTGCTGATGAATGTGTGTATGAGACCTTCTTTGGTAAATACCTAAGAGTCCAAAGATGAGTAACCTTGGAGGATTTATTTAACCCTCTTGGACTGTCGAATTCTCAATCTATAAAATAATGAGGCTCAATGAGATGATTTCTAAGTTCTTTTTCAAATCTGATATTTTGTGAGTTGATCTGGAGTTTCTTGGGCATGCTCAAGTGGAGGCCAGGTCCACCTGCTAGGCTGAATTGTTTTTTTTTTTAATCAAATAGTCTAAGTGTTTTTTTTTTTTTTTTTTTTTTGAGTCTCACTTCTGTTGCCTGGGCTAGAGTGTCAGCTTAGCTCACAGCAACTTCAAACTCCTGGGCTCAAGCAATCCTCCTTCCTCAGCCTCCCGAGTAGCTGGGACTACAAGCATGCGCCACCATGCCAGCTAATTTATATATATATATATATATTTTATATATCTATTATTATATATATATTTTATATATATACACACACACACACACAGACACACATATATTTTTAGTTAGCCAATTAGTTTCTTTCTATTTATAATAGAGACGGGGTCTCGCTCTTGCTCAGGCTGGTTTCTAACTCCTGACCTCGAGCAATCCGCCCGCCTCGGCCTCCCAGAGTGCTAGGATTACAGGCGTGAGCCACCGCACCCGGCCTTCTTTCTTTTTTTAATTTTGAAGTATTGTGGGGGTAAAATGTTTTGGTTATATGAATTGCTTTTGTGCCATTTGAGTCAAAGTTATAAGTGTGCCCATCATCAAGACAGCATGCAATGTACTGTGTGAATTTACCTATCCTCCCTATCCCCTTCCACCTGCTTGGTTTCTGCTGAGTTTTACTACCATATGTGCACATGAGTGTTGATTGATTAGTTTCAGTTTAACAGTGAGTACATGTGGTGTTGATTTTTCCATTCTTGCGATATTTTGCTTAGAAGAATGGACTCCAGTTCCATCCAGGTTGTTACAAAGGGTATTAGTTCACCTTTTTTTTTTTTTTTTTTTTTTAATTTTGGCATATTATGGGGTACAGATTTTAAGGTTTCAATAAATGCCCATTTCCCCCCTCCCCAAAAGTCTGAGTCTCCATCATGACCATCCCCAGATGGTGCACATCTCACTCATTATGTATGTATATACACCCCCTCCCCCCTCCTCCCCACCTGCCCAATACCCTATTACTGTAGTACCTATGTGTCCACTTAGGTGCTAGTCAATTAATACCAGTTTTCTGGAGAATATATCTGGTGCTTTGTTTTCCATTCTTGGGATACTTCACTTAGTTAGTAGGGTTCCAGCTCTAACCAGGAAAATATAAGATGTGCTATATCACCATTGTTTCTTAGAGCTGAATAGTACTCCATGGTATACATATACCACATTTATAATCCATTCTTGGATTGATGGCACTTGGGCTGTTTCCACAGCCTTGCAATTATGAATTGTGCTGTATAACATTCGAGTGCAGGTGTCTTTTGTTTGTGAGTGTCACTGGATCATTTGGGTAGATGCCAGCAATGGGATTGCTGGGTCAAAATGGTAGATTCAGTTGTATCGCTTTAAGGTATCTCCATATTGCTTTCCACAGAGGTTGAACTAGTTTGCAGTCCCACCAGCAGTGTAGAGTGTTCCTCTCTCTCCGCAACACGCCAGACATTTATGTTTGGAGATTTTTTGATAAAGGCCATTCTCACTGGGGTTAAGTGATATCTCATTGTGGTTTTGATTTGCATTTCCTGATGATTAGAGATGTTGAGCATTTTTTCATATGTTTGTTGGCCATTCTTCTGTCTTCTTTAGAAAATTTCTGTTCAAGTCTTTTGCCCACTTTTTAATGGGGTTATTTGATTTTTTCTTCCTAATTTTCATGAGTTCTAAGTATATTCTAGTTTTTTTTTTTTTTTTTTTTTTTGAGACAGAGTCTCGCTTTGTTGTCCAGGTAGAGTGAGTGCCGTGGCGTCAGCCTAGCTCACAGCAACCTCAAACTCCTGGGCTCGAGTGATCCTTCTGCCTCAGCCTCCCGAGTAGCTGGGACTACAGGCATGCGCCACTATGCCCGGTTAATTTTTTTTTTATATATATATCAGTTGGCCAATTAATTTCTTTCTGTTTATAGTAGAGACGGGGTCTCACTCTTGCTCAGGCTGGTTTTGAACTCCTGACCTTGAGCAATCCGTCCGCCTCGGCCTCCCAAGAGTTAGGATTACAGGCGTGAGCCACAGCGCCCGGCCTAGTTCACCATTTTTATGGCTGTATAGTACTCCATACTGTACAGATAATACATTTTATTAATCCACTCGTGTATTGATGGGCATTTGAGTTGTTTCCATATTTTGTGATTGTGAATTGTGCTGCTATAAACATATGAGTGCAGGTACCTTTTTTATAAAATGTCTTTTTTTCCTTTGGAAAAATACCCAGTAGTGGGATTGCTGGATCAAGTAGTAGGTCCACTTTTGGTTCTTTGAGGTATCTCCATACTACTTTCCATAGAGGTTGTACTAGTTTGCAGTCCCACCAGCAGTGTATGAATATTCCTTTCTCTCTGCATCCACGCCAGCATCTGTAGTTTTGGGACTTTTTGATAAAAGCCATTCTCATTAAAGTTAGGTAATAATCTCATTGTGGTTTTGATGTGCATTTCCCTGATCATTACAGACATTTTTTCATACATTTATTGGCCATTAATCTATCTTTTTTTGAAAAGCTTCTGTTCATGTCTTTTGCATTCCCGCTTTTTAATGGGATTCTTTGATTTTTTTTTTTGCTGATTTGCTTGAGTTCTTTTCTTTCTTCTTTCTTTAGTGATTATTCCTTGTGTGACTCTTCGGATGCAGGAAAAAGTGTTGTTTTGTCTGCTCCGTGTTATTTGGAGGACTTTATAAAGTACTTTTTTTTTTTGTAATTTTTTCTTCTTTTCATAAAGGTTGTCAGCTTTTGTTTTAAGATGTTTCCTTGAAGCTGATCCTTACATAGATATTGATCAGAATGTGTTACACAGAACATATATATGGCTCAAAGGACGTCAGAAATCCAATGGTGAATTTTGGGAGCCGGGAAGAGTGATTCATAGTGAGCTTCAAGGTGGCAATACAAGTCCAGTAACACTTACAGCCTATATTGTGACTTCTCTCCTGGGATATAGAAAATATCAGGTATTTAATCTTTGATTTAGTAAATGATATAAGTGGGAAACTCAAGGAAGGTATGTCTCAACCGGTCAAATATGTATCTGGAAACTTAAAAGAGTTTGGCAATTTTGTATTGCATTTGGAATCTGCATTTGAAAACACCCTTTTGCTTTGATTTGTGCTCGCATTCCAAAATCAGGATAAAAATATTTTATTCACTCTTTGAGATTAACTGAGAGAATTCTAAAAATGATTTATAATATATGTATTATACTTGCTATTGGTATGGTAAGTCAATATATATTTTATCATTGGAAGGGCTAATTTCTTAGGGGAAAGAAAATTCTTTAGAATTTGAGAATGTGTTCTAGCAGGTTTAGGTTGTGAAGGATTTTCTATTTCTAAGATATTATGGAACAATTGCAGTGTCTGTTAATTGAGTGCTAGCTATACCCACACTCTGAAAAGCATGGTAAGTGGGCACAGATGCCTAGATGAGAATGAGGGTGCATGGAAAGTTATGCTGATGAGCTGAATTTTTCTCCATACCTGTCCCCGTGATTGATGCCTTTACTGCTTACTGCCGACTGCATTTCATGAGATCAACAACAGCCATTCTCTTTATTAAGCTCCCTGCTATTTTCCTAGCCCAGTACTAGGCATATAGATGGTAAACGTTTCCCTGAATTTAGAGCTTCAACACCTGAGATCAATTGTGAAAAACATCATTTTCAAGCTATATTTTCTGCTCTCATTTGAGTTTATGGTACTCAGTGGGAGAAACAATGGCAAAAGCTCTACTTCTTATTTCTTCTAAGGAATGGTGTCTGTTTACTTATAAAAACTGAAAAGTGGGGTTCTTTTCTATTTTTTTTGAGATAGAATCTTGCTCTGTTGTCTGTAGTAGAATGCAGTGGTATCATCGTAGCTCATTGCAACCTCAAACTCCAGGGCTCAAGGGATCCTTCTGCTTCAGCCTCCTGAGTAGCTGGGACTACAAGCATGCAGCACCACACATGGCTAATTTTTCTATTTTTAGTAGAAACGGGGTCTCACTCTTGCTCAGGCTGGTCTCGAACTGCTGAGCTCAAGTGATCCTCCTACCTCTGCCTCCCAGAGCACTAGGATTACAAGCATGAGCCACTGCGCTTGGTCTTATTTTCAAAATGCATGGCAGATCTTTAAACATCAATGATTTATTGTTAATTCTCATTGCTTAAGACATGGTCAGATGCTTAATAGACACTGAAATTATTTTTTAAATGAATGTTTTCAAGTATTTTTTGTTTAAATATGTGGTAATGGGTTATTTATTTTTTTTTTTTTTTGGTAATGGGTTATTTTGAATAGTAAAAAATATATTTTTTCTTTCAAGCCTAATGTTGATGTGCAAGATTCTATCAACTTTTTGGAATCTGAATTCAATAGAGGACTTTCTGACAATTATACTCTAGCTCTAATAACTTATGCGTTGTCATCGGTGAGGAGTCCTAAAGCAAAGGAGGCTTTGGATATGCTGATGCAGAGAGCAGAACAAGAAGGTAATGTGTGGGGCCTGTGGAGGTTGTTAGACTGTTGTGTATTATGAAATATATAAATTATATGAGTACATTTTGTGAGCCAGGTATGAAGTTGATCACATTTGCATCTTTTGAATGAGATGAAAAAAGAAACACAGAAAGAGATTAGGAAAGGCCTTACATGGCCATAATGTTTCTAGTCTCCTCGGGAATTTTTTAAAATAGAATTTCAGGGCTTGGATGTCTCTTTATTTTACATATGTTCTGCCCTATGTCAGTTACTCTTTGAGGGTCAGGTACCATTTCTGGTTTGGTGACCCTGTGTGTTTGCTAAGACCTTGGATTCTGGAGAGACTTCAGTTCAAATCTGGTTTCGCAACTTGCCTTTTTGAGCTTCAGTGTCCCCAACTGTAAAATGGGAATAACACCTATTTTAGAGTTGCTGTGGGGATTAAATGAGATAATGTTTGGTGCCTGGTGCATAACAGGTGCTCAAAAGTATGAACTAAAATGCAAATTAAAAGAAATGCAAATACCAAAAACAATGCTGTTAGAAGTGGGTTGTGTGTATGATTCTTTTTTTTGGGGAATGGCGATTGCAATTGGGCTATAAGAGGACAAAAAATACAGGGGATCCCGTGTGTGTGTGTGTGTGTGTGTGTGAGAGAGAGAGAGAGAGGGAGAGAAAGAGAGAGAGAGAGAGAAAGAGAGAGAGAGAGAGAGATGGGGTTAGGTGGGCAGAAATAATTTTAAATTCAAAGTTTTGTTTATTTAACAAGGGATAGTTATAAAAAGTGCTTAGAGATGTCTGAGACTGTATAAAATATTGTATTATTATTAACAGAAACTTAGATTTAATTCTTATTACATATTCCAGTGCTGGGGACTAGAAGATCTTTATGTAGAGGCTGAAGCAGGCCTTGCCATTTGTTCGTCTCTGCTTGGCTAAGTGGTAGTTATTTCACATTCCACCCGAGTATAATCATCTAAACAGCATGTTTAGTTTGAGAAAGGGCACCAAGTAGGATGGTCCTCTGGCAGCTATTATCTCCAGGAAGGTTGTTTGAGGTGGCCAGGGTCCCTCATTTTTCTCTTAGGGGCTTGAATTTCAAACTTATAGCACCAACTTTCAGGTAATGAAAAAGGGAGAAGTTTCCTAGAACACTGGAGCTAATTAATGGCAGATCTGCAAAACAGGATTCTTTCCAATGTGCCCTAAAATAGTTTGGGAATGGCCTGGTCAGATAAGTCACATACATTATCTTCTGTAATATAGTATGTTTTCTCTTTTATTTTTAGCTGTTCAGTCTTGAGTCAAATGTATGGAATTCTCTTGGGAAAAATATTTTCATCAAAACATTCTCAAATACAGGCATTAGAAAAAGGATGAAAATTTATAAATGGTACAGCTTGAGCATCCCTAATAAAAAAACTGAAATCATGCAACAAGCATTTCCTTTGAGCGTCATGTCGGTGCTCAAAAAGTTTCGGATTTTGGAGCATTTCATATTTTGGAATATATGTATTCTGCAAATATTCCAAAATTTGAAAAAAATCTGAAATCTGACACATGTCTGGTTCCAAGCATTTCAAATAAGGGATACTCAACAGGTAATAGTTTAAAAATTGACATATAGGTGTGTGTACAAATGTATGTATACTTGCTTGGCATAAATATATACATATATAAAAATATATGTATTTTTATGCTAGTCAAGTAGAACTTTGACCAGTGTGTGAATATTTAATGGTATAAATGTAATTTTTTTTTTTGTAATTGATCAGAATGCCATTACTTTTCTCTTGCAGAAGACATGCAATTCTGGGTGTCATCGGCGTCCGAACTTTCTGACTCCTGGCAGCCACGCTCCCTGGATATTGAAGTTGCAGCCTATGCATTGCTCTCACACTTCCTGCAATTTCAAGTTTCTGAGGGAATCCCAATTATGAGGTGGCTAAGCAGGCAAAGAAATAGCTTGGGAGGTTTTGCATCTACCCAGGTGAGAGATGATGGATTTTTTTGCCTTTAAAGTATAGTGTGTGTGTGTGTATATATATATATGTATATTAGAAGGTGTGGTTGCTTTATTTTTATTACTTCATAAGATCACTTGGCAGTTTAAAAGTTTAGAAACTCAGGTCAAAGGTTTAAGTCACTAACTTTACTTTTTTTCTCATTATTGTTGTAAATTTCATATCTGATACTTCTATGGAATGAAACAGTTCCTCATCTATATTAGCTGTTTTTCACTTGTGGTAACTGATGAAAGAGTAGATGCTCAATTCCATTCAGCAAATGTTTTCTCAGCCTCTCCTTTCTAGGCCAAGGAGATTCAAACATGAGTCAGGGAGCGTTATACTCTCAAGGAAGATGGATAAATGTACAGCAGATTTCCTAAGCATTATTGGATTTACTCTTTGGAGGTCTTGATATATATTTACATGCACAAATGTTTTTCTTCCCTCAACAGGACACCATTGTGGCCTTAAAGGCCCTGTCTGAATTTGCAGCCCTAATGAATACAGGAAGGACAAATATCCAAGTGACTGTGACGGGGCCTAGCTCACCAAATCCTGTAAAATTTCTGATTGACATACACAACCGCTTTCTCCTTCAGACAGCAGAGGTGTGGACAAGGGGTGGTTATTCAAAAACCTGTGTAGATGATTCTTTATGCTGGAATACTGCTTTATTTCTAATCTGTTGACTCCAACCAAAGGCTTGTTCCTGGAGCCCTATAGAGGGACAGGGGAAAGTGGTACTCTCCTTGGTTGAATTTGCTGAGCTTTAGAAGGGCGGAGGGGATGAGAACTTTGGAAAGATCCGTGGAAAAGGAGAAAACATGGGCACTGTCACATTGGGAAACAATGTGCCTTACATATGCCTATTGCATTGCATTCTTAAACCAACTCTAAGTACTTTTATGCCCATTGTACACATGCTAAAACTGAGGCTGAGAGAGGTTAAGTAACGTGCTCCAGATCATGTTACTAGGAATAGTAGAGCTAGAATTTGAACTCATGATTCCAAAGGCCATGTTTTTTCAGCTGCTCCACATGCCTTCTTAGGAGAATCAATAGAACCAGGAGTGGAATTTGTACTTTAAATGAAATGTGAGAATATGCTAGTCTCTAACTTTATTTCCTTAGTTAACCTTGTGGGAAGTTGAGGACAATGGATGAAGGTGTTGACTTCAAGGCTAGAAACTGAGGAATAGGGGTAATGGCAAAGGAAAAGAGGGAGTAAAGTTAGGCACAGTCAATGATGACACGTCACTGTGTTCCCAGGAAGACGGAGGATTAGGCTCTGGACGTTTGTTTCTTGTCTTTCATCCTCCCAACAGGAAACAACCTGTCAGGAGCACTAATGTGCTCTCCCTAAATGGAGAGGTGAGGGCGCCTGGAGAGCGGGCACTTCCTCTGCCTTCACCTCGCTCACCCGTTGACTCATAGCTTTTGATAAATGAGATCAAGCAAAGCTGTTAGCACTTTCTAGTAATTACTTCCACTCCTAATGAGGGATAGCACTGATCTCTTGTGCTTCTTGGAAGCATCCAGATATGGAAAATTAGCCTCATTCACTTTTTTTTTCACCTTATTCAGCTTGCTGTGGTACAGCCAACTGCAGTTAATATTTCCGCAGATGGTTTTGGATTTGCTATTTGTCAGGTATGTAATAAAATGTTTATTTTTTAAAGTTAAATGTGACTACTTAAAATAATTCTTTGGGGCATTGCTAAATCTTGAACTTAGATAACTTGGATAAAATTCTTAATGACTTACTTCTGTGACTTATGAAAGATACATCACTTTCTTTAATAAAAAGTATGAGAGATGTTACCAGCTAGTGAGCAGACAGCAATTATATGGGTTGATAATCTATTTGAAGAATATTTTTATAATTATTTGCCTTTTGAAGTGAGGGCTAAAATCTTCCAATATGATTCATGTGAATCTTTGGGTACTTCCAAATATGTTTTTTTGTGAAAATATATTTCAGAAATTATAATGCTGTTAGAGTTTCCACTATGATCTGATAAGCAAATACACATTTTTCATACATCTTCTTAATATTCATTGAAGAATATAAAGAATATACAAGTTATTGACTTGAAGATAGGAAATGTGTCCCTTTAATGTAAGATCTTATATATTAATAATAGTAAAAATAACAATTAGAGCATGATTATGTTCAATGCTTTGGCATAGGTAGAAAATTCAAAGAAATATTTTTTAAGGTGAATAGGAGCTTCAATAAAATGGAAATAGTATGAAAAATACGGAATGAAATAAATTATTACACTAAATAATACATGAAAATCTTGGGGACTTTAAAATCATCTTATCAGAAACCCAAGATAATATGTGGTAGCACCAAGAATGACTTTGTGTTTGGGTAGAAAAAGCAAACGAAACAGACCCTGAAAGACTTACTGAGAAAGTAGTAAAATGGTTATTATATAGAAAAAATACTTTTTCAAAAACGAATACAGTCACTCTAGTTGAGAGAACAGGTGCTTAGTAGGGCACCTGAGAACTTGCTTAGTAGGGCAGGTGTAACTTGCTAAGCAGGTATTGTTAGTAAGCCTCCAAATAATTCTAAGATTATTTTGCATGATACTCAAAATTCAGTAAACATTTTTTAAAAGTTGAGGAAAAATGATCACATTGGAAAGGAATGATATTCAATGAAAAGGATAGAACGAGAAAGTGAGTAATTTATATTGGTCTTTACTAACAAAGATCATGGGAAGATTCTCATTCTCAAGCTGTCTTTCAATGAAAGGGCAATTCCAAGAGTAAAACATACAGTATATTTTAGATAAAATTGAAAAATTATATATACTTAAATCGCTGAGTGAGTTGGAATTCATTTTTGATAAACCAAATGCAGATAAATTATTGAAACCAAATGACTTTTACTTGAGGTTTGAAGGTCACAGGGGTAAATGTTATACCTAGTGTTCAGAATGTTCAGCAGTCCCATTTCTGTCTCAAAATACAGAAAACAAAAGGTGAGGACCAATAGGCACTTCCTATGGTGGATGGGGAAAATTGCAAAAAATGTGGTCACCCAGAAGTGGGTATTGAGATTTTCCTTCAGTTGGTATTTTTATAAGTGCTCTGGAAAAAGAAGGGCAAAAGAAACCTCTTGGGTTTGTAGTAAATAATTACCCTCTTTTGAGTAATAAAATGCTAAATTACATTTGAAAATTTGAAAATCAACTGCAAGATCTCTCTTTTTTTCTTTTTAATTTCAGCATATTATGGGGATATAAATGTTTAGTTTACATATATTGCCTTCGCCCCACCCGAGTCAGCGCTTCAAGCGTGTCCATCCTTAAAGTGCTCAGAGTAAACAGTCGAGCTGTGGGCCAGATGAAAACCCTCATACTTAGATATAATTGGGCATTAATTATGACCTGGGAGACTAATAGTCCTTGTTTATTTCTGGAGACATTGGCCTCTAAAGAAAGGGACAATGGCATGCCTCTGGAAAGGGGTAATGAAAATAACAGAAACCATTCCCCCAATTTTATGAAACCATTCTTCAACTGCTCCAGGAATACTCTATAATTTTAATTGCTATAGTTTAAGAAAGAGTTGGCGAATGCCCAGAGTGAGATAGCCAGGATGATCAAGGGGCTGAAGGATTACATGAGTTTGGGTTGTGGCAGAATAAAAGGATTGGAACTCTAAGATTTGAAAGGTAAGCCTTAGAGACAGGATTTTTTAAAGTATATAAATTCACTAAGGGTACTAGATGTTTAGTTCTCAGGTATGTGTGTGTGTGTGTGTGTGTGTGTGTGTGTGTGTGTATGTGTTTTAGGTATAAATAAAATAAAATGCAATATTACATAGCAATAGTAAACTTTATGAACCATGGTATCAAAAAAGGGGATGAGATAAAACATTTAAATAGATACCAGTCAACCCTGGGATGAGGCTGCCCTAGGAAATTTTGAGTATGTTCCTAAGCTTCTGATTTAGGGTCCTCTGAGAAAGACACTGGTCCTCAGGCTACCCCAGTGTCCCCAGAGCACCTTTAAAATCTCAAGAATGGAAAAACAAGCACCACATGTACTCACCAGCAAATTGGTATTAACGGATCAACACCTAAGTGGACATATAGGAAAAACATTTATCAGGTGTCAGGGGGTGGGAGGGGGGAGGAGGGGATAGGTATATACAAACACAATGAGTGAGATGTGCAACGTTTGGGGGATGGACGCACTTGAAGCTCTGACTCGAGGGGGGGGGAGCATGGGCAATATACGTAACCTTAACATTTGTACCCCCATAATATGCTGAAATAAAAAAAAACAAGAAAAAACCATTAGTGGTGGGTACAGAGTATATGCTGAAAAGACCAAGGTGATGTGAAATCCATAATTTATTTTATCATCTTTGAAAAATGTGTGGTCAAAAGAATATTTAGCAGTTGAACAGGTTTACTTTCAACTAAGGCTCTTGGATGTTTTTGTTTTGATTCAACTTACTGAGAGTTTCTAATGTTCCAGTTTGTGAAAAATGACTCCATTTGGGCAACAGGACTTAGAAATCCATGAATGTTCTCAAGAAAGTTGGCAGTAGCTTCACTTTTTCCCTCAAGGGAATGTTTACATTCTTTGAAAAAAAAAAACAGTATCTCATCAGTATCACCCACAGTGTTCTATGATACTTGTTTTGGTTTTGGAATACCACCCAACAATTTTCTCAACTTTTAAAATAATTTTTATAAACTTTTATAGTATTTGTTAATAATGGTACTTTGTCAGCCGGTAAAATTAATTTTTTTCTAGTTTGAAGATTATAAATTTAATTGGTTTTATCCCAAAGAGAAATATCTAATACAATTTTAGAATACATAATGATGGAAATTATTGCCCATTTATTATTTGTGCTAATTTATTTATTGCAGCTCAATGTTATTTATAACGTGAAAGATTCTGGGTCTTCTAGAAGACGAAGATCTATCCCAAATCAAGAAGCCTTTGATTTAGATGTTACTGTAAAAGATAATAAAGATGATATCAATCATGTGAATTTGAGTGTGTGCACAAGGTAAGTAATCTGTTTACATCCCTCTTCTTCCTCTTTCTTTTTACTTTAAAAAAATAAATTTGAAGATTAAATTGTATATAGTTGTCTATATCAATATAAGGAGTTATATGCAACAAAGAATTCAGTTATGCATTACACTTCAGGTTATAAACTGGAAATAATAATTATATTTAAGCATTTTTTAGATGTGTCCAAAAATTATTTATAAGTTTTTCTTCCTTTTTTGTTTTTTACAAATTTGAATAGAACAGTATTATTTAAATGAATAAAACAAAGGTCCAATTTAGGAAAACTTTAAATTAATCCATTATATTTAATACTCCAAATATGATTGTTTCTTGTTGGGAGTTATTTTTCTGTTGAAATAATTATTCCAGGTTCACCTTTAACCTTAACTGTTTTGCTTTTAACCCCAAATTTTATGAGAACAATGCAAATTCAATGAAGGGAATAGTTTTTTTTTAAGAGACACTGAAAACATTCCAGTTTAGAATGTTCTCACCTTGGATAATTAGACACTTACAGCCGTAGATTCCAGCAGCACTTGTTAAGGTGATTCTTAAATTGATCTGCCTCTGAAGCATCTGAGGATCTTGCTAGGTCATAAGGGAAGGGTTTTGACTTAGCAGCAGGGCTGTGAAGCTGCAGCTTCCTGGCTATTCTAACACACGCACATGAGAATACTCATGTGAAAGTTCTTGGAGGTAGAGGCTTTATGATGTTTTTCTTGTCAGTCTATCCTCATATATCTGCATTATTTAGTGTTGAGCTGGGAGTCACTATCAAGATGCAATGACATTGAGAAGCTGTCGTCTGCTCTGTTAGAATATTTGTATCATTCTGGTTGAACTTAGTTTGTTATGGGCTGGGAGCCACTGATGTGGTCTTGAGCTGCCAGATGCTCTCCAGGGTCATTTCTGGGTGTTCACCCAGGTGGTCAGTCTTCTTAGCCATTGCCTGGACCCAGTCTCCTCCATTACTGCTACCATCTGTATTACCTTGGACCTTCTTTTTCATGATTTTGGGGTAAAATGTTACATGTTTGCCCCATTCCTCACCTTCTCAGGCATTCTGAGCCAGCGGCAGGGGCATGTCAGAGTCTCTGCAGTGGCTTCCTTTTTAGCTGAGAAGAAAGTGGGGCTCCAATTATTCTTTGCTAAGCTTGCAACCGGCCTCTGTTCCAGAAAACAACATCCAGGTGTTATTAGAAACAGTAACACCCTACATTAATCACAAACTTATATGCCAGGCACCGTAACACACATTTTTACGTGCCTCTCATTTAATTCTTACAATAACTCTATAAAGTAAGTGCTATTATTATTTCTGCTTTCCTCATTGATTCATTCATATTTTCATTCACTCAGTAAAACGCCGTCTGTCTGAATCTGCCCCATGTGACAGGCACAGTGTCAGGCATGGGAGTATAGTGGTGAGCCAAAAACACACACAGGCCCTGTGAGGGGGAGAATGAAATAATAAATGAATGAATGAATTTATTTATTTTTAATTCATAAGAATGAATTAATTAAAAAAAATCCCCTCAGCAAGTCTAAAATTCTGGTGTTGAGGAAGGCAAAGAAGAAGAGTCTCATGGAATTATGAGAGGGGGATTTTTACCTCTTAGGTAGGTTAAGTGAAGAGACATGAGGAAAATGCAGTGGCACCAGGATTCAGACCATGATGAGGCCTCATCCTTTATAGGGGCTCAAGGAAGGTTGCAGGTTCCCAGTCTTCACCCAGCACTGGGAATCAGGGTTGGTAGGTAGAACTTGAAGATGAAAAATGTTTTCCTGTAAGGGTAGGGATTTTACAGAAAGGATTTAAATACATTTAAAGTTTTCTGAGAAAACTCTGGTATGAAGCACAAATAACATGTTAAGTGAATTTTTTCAGCAGCACATTATAAAAAGATTACCTGGTATTTCAGGCACTTTATTCCTATCAACAGGTCCAGGTCCTTACCTCATACAGGGCTTTCTGTGGGGTATGGTGGTTTAACAGATTCTTCCCCTGGTTGGTGGAGAGACCAGGTCAACCAAGGCACCTTTTTTTTTTTTAATTTTCTTTTTTAAATTATATTTTATCTTCTTTTTTTTTTTTTTTTATTGTTATCAGAAAGGTAGAAGGCACTTTTGATGGTGTACTGAAAGTATAATCTGCATCATATTTTTAAGTATTTAAATATATCGGCTGTTTTTCTCATCTGTAATTTTTGCTCATATACAAATACCTCTAGTTTCAGTCCAGTTATTAGTTTTCAGTAGCATCTATTTTGGCGAAGCGCATCACTCAGCAGATGGTTTCAGTTGCTTCGGGTTGCTGGGCCAGCTGAAGTCAGCAGTTGTACCGTATGGCTTTTCAGTCAGTCACGTTTGGCAGCCATCAGTTCACTGCTCTAAAAAGCAAGATTTTCTAGCACCCTTTCATGCTTTTGCCGTCTAAAAGGACAACAGGAACTAAATTAATCCCATGATCCTTTTATGTTAGAGGCAGACTTCTTTCCATAATGAGTCTGGGTTCTTGTTGCTCCAAATGAAAAGCTCTTGCCTTTTATTCATTTAGGAAAAATATTTATTTTCAAGGAAACAAAATGTTGTTGGTGTTCAGATCCTTCGGTGCTCACATTGTGTACAACGGGGTGAGAGAGGATGAGGTGTAATAAAACTTTCCAAGGCTTATAATTCTCTCAAGGTGGCCAAAGGAAACAACAAAGTGTGCCAAGTATGTGGGAGAACAAAGGGAAGGCCTTTCCCTACAGTTCTCATTTTTCTAAAACAAGATGAAGAAAAGGTTGCTAAGGACTTGGCTGGGGTCTACCACCAAGTGGTCAAGGGATGTCTCCTTTTCTGGTCCCGGCTTTCAGCTGGAAAGTTTGGTGCGGTCAACTTTTGAGAAAATAAAAAATGCAGCTCATTTTGCAATCACCACTAGAAAACAGAGCTATCTGTTCTAACGATGTATAATAAGTATACCTGTTACAGCCTGTAAGCACAGGCCTGCCACACTGCAGGAATGTCATACTGTCTGTCAAATGAACACATTATCATGTCATTATTCACCATAGGATTGAAAGTTATAAGAATATCACACATATAAGAAAAAGATAAAATTCTGTTCTAAAATTCTCTGTAAATCTGCCTGCACTATTTAAAACCCATATATAAGAAAAAAATAGTTCGGGTGTGGTGGCTCACGCCTGTAATCCTGGCACTCTGGGAGGCCGAGGTGGGAGGATCGCTCAAGGTCAGGAGTTCAAAACCAGCCTGAGCAAGATCGAGACTTTGTCTCTACTAAAAATAGAAAGAAATTAATTGGCCAACTAAAAACATATAGAAAAAATTAGCTGGGCATGGTGGCGCATGCCTGTAGTCCCAGCTACTTGGGAGGCTGAGGCAGAAGGATCTCTTGAGCCCAGGATTTTGAGGTTGCTGTGAGCTAGGCTGACGCCATGGCACTCTAGCCCAGGCAACAGAGTGAGACTCTGTCCCCGCCCCCAAGTTATATATATTTAAAATTTAAAATAAAATAAAAATAAAATAAAATTCTCTAAAGTGAATTTTATTTGAACTCTTAACAGTATTTGGAGTAACATTTGACAGTTTTAATTTTTGCATGAAGATCATTTGCTAACAGCTTTAGGTTTTTCCTAAAGGGTTTTTCTTCCATCCTCTTCTCTTTGTTTTTTTTTTTTTAAGGTTAATTTTTTTTTTTTGTATTTTTTTTTTATTTGGCATATTATGGGGGTACAGATTTAAAGGTTTCAATAAATGCCCATTTCCCCCCTCCCCCAAAAGTCTGAGTCTCCATCATGACCATCCCCAGATGGTGCACATCTCACTCATTATCTATGTATATACCACCTCCCTCCCCCTCCCACCTGCCAATACCCTATTACTGTAGCACCCTATGTGTCCACTTAGGTGCTACTCAGTTAATACCAGTTTGCTGGAGAATATATCTGGTGCTTGTTTTCCATTCTTGGGATACTTCACTTGAAGTATGGGTTCCAGCTCTAACCAGGAAAATATAAGATGTGCTATATCACCGTTGTTTCTTAGAGCTGAATAGTACTCCATGGTATACATATACCACTTTTATAATCCATTCTTGGATTGATGGGCACTTGGGCTGTTTCCACAGCCTTGCAATTATGAATTGTGCTGCTATAAACATTCAAGTGCAGGTGTCTTCATCGTCTTCTCTTTGATTTAGGTTTTTGAGCCCCGCTAGGAGTGGCATGGCTCTTATGGAAGTTAACCTACTCAGTGGCTTTACTGTGCCTTCAGACGCGATTCCTCTAAGTGAAACAGTGAAGAAGGTGGAACACGATCATGGAAAACTCAATCTCTATTTAGATTCTGTAAGTAGCAGAACATTAAGTTTCGTATAGGTAACTATTGACAAAGCTACCATTTATTGTGTTCCCATGTCTACCTTACTTTTAAGTATGTTTTCTTTAAGTCATTATTATTTTAGCTTTTTGTGTGCCTGCTTAACTTTAACGTGGCAACCATATATTTGTCTCTACTGAAAAGGCATCACTATGAAATTGATTTGGAGAGAGTTACTGTTAATGATGAGCCTGGTGAAGATCTAATAACTAAGTCATTATATCATGCCAGCTATAAAATACATAGAAATTTTTATATTATAATTTCAAAAATTCAGTCCAGATCTCAATTTGACAATTGCTCTGCCTCAGGGAATTGCTAAATATATTTGTTTAAATGCTGAAGATGAAAGCTTTAATGACACATTTTAAAATGATTTCATAAAGCTTTTAGCAAATCTCAAAGGGGTTAATATTTCTCCCTTGAAAAGTTAGGTGCTTAAATCATAAAAGAATATTCTCAGAGGTTTGGTCTTGACACAGAATTATATAACCTTCATGTACTCTTCCTATTGCTGCGTGAGTGCTACTGATCCAAGAATAAGGTGCATAAAATAGGTGAGGGAAAGGTAAGTGAAGAATTCCAAACTCTACTTTTTTTTTAAATTTCAAAATATTACAGGGGTACAAATGTTTTTGGTTATATGTATTAGTTTTGTTATGCTTGAGTTAGGGTTATAAGTGTGCCCATCACCCAGAGAGTGTTCATTGTACACATTAGGTAGGTTTTCTTTAAATCATTAGTTGTCCTTCATATTCATAATTCATCCTTCTTCATAGCTGAATAGTATTCCATTATATATATATATATCACATTTTGTTAATCCACTCATGAATTGATGAGTACTGGGTTGATTCCACATGTTTTCAATTTGAATTGTGCTGCAATAAACATTCGAGTGTGGGTGTCTTTTTGATTAAATGATTTCTTTTCCTTTGGGTAAATACCCAGCAGTGGGATTGCTGGATCAAATGGTAGGTCTCTACTTTTAGTTCTTTGAGGAATCTCCATACTGTTTTCCATAGAGCTTGTATGACTTTGTAGTCCCACCAACAGTGTATAAGTTTTTATGTCTCTCTGCATCCACGCCAGCATCTATTGCTTTGGATTTTTTAATAAAAGACATTCTATCTGGGGCAAGGTGATATCTCATTGTGGTTTTAATTTTCATTTCCCTGATAATTAGTGATGTTGAGCATTTTTCATATGTTTATTGGCCATTTGTATAACATCTTTTGAAAAGCTTCTGTTCATGTTTTTTGCCTACTTTTTAATAGGGTTGTTTGTTTTTTCTTTACTGATTTGCTTGAGTTCTTTGTAGATCCTGGTTATTAGTTCTTTATCAGATATATAGCTTATGAATATTTTCTCCCATTCTGTAGGTTGTCTATTTACTCTGTTGATTATTTGCTATGCAGAAGCATTTTAATTTAATTAAGTTCCATTTATTTATTTTGTTATTGTTGTGATTACCATTGGGATCTTCTTCATAAATTTTTTATGCAGCCCAATATCTAGAAGAGTTTTTCCAACATTTTCTTCTAGCATTCTTGTGATTTCAAGCCTTACATTTAAGTCTTTTATCCATCTTGAATTAATTTTTGGTTTTTTTTGAGACAGAGTCTCGCTTTGCTGCCCAGGCTAGAGTGAGTGCTGTGGCGCCTAGCTCACAGCAACCTCAAACTCCTGGGCTCAAGCAATCCTTCTGCCTCAGCCTCCCGAGTAGCTGGGACTACAGGCATGCACCACCATGCCTGGCTGATTTTTTCTATACATATTAGTTGGCCAATTAATTTCTTTCTATTTTTGGTAGAGACGGGGTCTCGCTCAGGCTGGTTTCAAACTCCTGACCTTGAGCGATCTACCCGCCTTGGCCTACTAGAGTGCTAGGATTACAGGCGTGAGCCACCGCACCCGGCTTGAATTAATTTTTGTGAATGGTGAGAGATATGAATCCTCTTTCAATCTTCTGCTTGTGGCTATCCAATTTTCTCAGCACTATTTATTTAACAGGGCTTCTTTTCTCCAGTGTATATTGTCTGCTTTATCAAGCATTAGCAGGCTGTATGTGGGTGGTTTTATATTTGGGTTCTCTGTTCTGTTCCATTGGTCTATGTCTCTATTTTTATGTCAATAGCATGGTGTTTTAGTTACTGTAGCCTTGTAGTAAAGTTTAAAGTCTGGTAATGTGATGCCTCCAGATTTGTTCTTTTTGCTTACGATTACTTTGGCTATTTGGGCTCTTTTCTGGTTCCAGACGAAGTGTAGAATTATTTTTTCTAAATCTGTGAAATATGACTTTGGTATTTTGATGGAATTGCATTGAATTTGTAAATCACTTTGGGTAGTATGGACACTTTAAAAATGTTGATTCTACTGATCCATGAGTATGATGTGTTTTTCTATTTGTGTCGTCTGGGATTTCCTTCTTCAGTGTTTCATAGTTATCTTTGTAGAGATCTTTCACCTCCTTGGTTAAATATATTCCTAGGTATTTTATTTTCTTTGTGGCTATTGTAAATGGTTTGACTTTGATTTGATTCTCAGCCTGATTATTATTGGTGTATAGGAATGCTACTGATTTATGTACACTGATTTTGTGACCTGAGATTTTGCTGAATTTATTTATCAATTCTATGAGTCTCTTGGTGGAGTCTTAGGAGTTTTCTAGATATAATATCATATCATCAGCAAAAAATAATCGTTTGACTTCCTCTTTCCCTATTTGGATACCCTTTATTTCATTCTTTTTACTGATTGCCCTGGCTAGGACTTCTAGCACTATGTTGAATAGAAGTGGTGACAGTGGACACACTTGTGTTGTTTCATTTCTTAGTGGGAATGCTTTGAACCTTTCCCCATTCAGTATGATGTTGGCTGTGGGTTTGTCATATATACCTTTTATAATCTTGAGATATGTTCCTTCTATGCCTAGTTTGTTGAGGGTTTTTTATCATGAAAGGGTGCTCAATTTTGTGGAATGCTTTTTCTACATCAGTTGGTATAATCATATGGCCTTTGTTTTTGCTTTTGTTTATGTGGTGAATCACATTTATGAATTTGTGTATGTTGAACCATCCTTGCATCCCTGGAATGAAGCTCACTTGGTCATCATGGATACCTTTTTATGTGCTGTTGAATTTGGTTTGGTAGGATTTTTTATTTATATTCATAAGGGATGTTGGTCTGTAGTTTTCTTTTTGTTGTGTCCTTTCCTGGCTTGGTATCAAGATGATACTGGCTTTGTAGAATGAGCTGGGGGGATTCCCTTGTTCTTCATGTTATGGAATAATTTCTGAAGTATGGGTACCAGTTCTTCTTTGTAGGTCTGGCAGAATTTAGCTGTGATGCCATCTGGTTTGAGGCTTTTTTGTTGTTTTTGTTGGAAGATTTTTTATTACTACTTCAATTTTGTTGCTCATTATTAGATTATTCAGGAGTTCTATTTTTTCCTTATTGAGTCTTGGAACACTGTGTTTCCAGAATTTGTCCATTTCTTCTACGTTTTTGAGTTTATGTGCATAGAGATTGCCATAGTATTCACAGATGATATTTTGTATTTCTGTTGTATCAATTGTAATATCTCCTTTTTTCATTTCTGATTGAGCTTATTTGGGTCCTTTCTCTTCTGTTCCTGGTTAATCTAGCAAAAGGTCTATCAATTTTATTTATCTTTTCAAAGCACCAGCTTTTTGTTTCATTGATCCTTTGTATTGGTTTTTTGTTTTTGATTTCATTTAGTTCTGCTCTGAGCTTATTTATTTATTTATTTATTTTTCTGCTGGCTTTGGATTTGGGTTGCTCTTCATTTTCTAGTTCCTTGAGATGTGTCATTAGATTGTTAATTTGTTATCTTCTGTCTTTTTGATGTGGGGAGTTAAGGCTATGAATTTTCCCCTTAGGACTGCTTTGCTGAATCACATAGATTTTGATAGTTTGTGTCCCCTTTGTCATTCAGTTTGCACTTTACTTGTTATGTCTCAAAACTGCTGGCATGAAAGTTTATTTATTTTTTTTTGTTTAGCATCTTTATAATCCTTATAGGTTGACCCAATATTGAGTTCTAAGCATTCTTAGAATTTCATGTTATATGGCAGGAATACATATGTTTCTTATTATAGTTTTGCCAAGTATGAATCAGAAATATATTGCTAAATATCTACTTTTAAAAAGCCACTTCTTGAATGTTTCCATTGGTTTGGCACTTCAAAAACCATTCTGACTAAAGCCCTGTTAAAACTCATTCATTTTTCAGATTCTTTGCTCTTCAGGAATTTTCTTATATTAAATAATGCTTGAAATCCATGGGCCTGATTTGGAATTTGAAAAATAAATTTAAGGTTTTTGTTTAGTATGTAATTGGTTTTGAAGTTTGTCTTGTATTTTTGATTTGTCTTGTATCTTTGATGTTCTTATTCATGTTTTTCTTACTTTGAATATTCAGTACTTTTTGAGTGATTAATTTGACTTTTCATTTACTGCTATTGGCAAGTAGTGGGATGTTTGAAGTAATTTACTAATTTTTGATCCCTTAACCAGCATTGCCTACCAAATTGGCAAAAGCTGTTCCTCCTAGAGGCAGGGAAGCTGGCTTTGTGTACCCCATATCAGTCATTGCTTGTGTGGTACACTCCACATCTTGGGATTACCACACTTAATGGGTGATATGGTTCCCATGAGCTGAGGGTGATTCCCAGGAGAAGGGTGCTGATCTGATGAGGCACCATGGTCCCAGGAGTGTGCACTGTCAGGCTTGCTGCTAACTTAACAACTCTAATTCTCAATATCCCTTGTCAGCACAATGGAACTAAGAACAATACCTATGTTGTGAGGGTTGTTATAAGTTAAATAAGATAATTCATAGGAAGTACTTATTGTAGTACCTGCCACATAGAAGTCCTTCCTAAATGTTATCTTATTTCCTAAAATGATAAGATAAGTAATGTATTTTATTTTATTTATCATGAACATATCCTCTCAAGAGTCTTTTGTGTTTTTTAAGGTAAATGGAACCCAGTTTTGTGTTGATATTCCTGCTGTGAGAAACTTTAAAGTTTCAAATACCCAAGATGCTTCGGTGTCCATAGTGGATTACTATGAGCCAAGTAAGTGTGTTTTTGAGTTTCTAATACTTAAGAAGTTAAGCCAGGCATTCATTCATTCATTCATAGTGTCCACCTATTAGATGTGTTTTGTGAAGGATTGGTAGGGGAAAATGCAGGAGGTAGGGATGCAGGAGGTGAGCTTGCCATTTAAATGAAGACTATTGATAGCTTACAAGGGTCACATGATAACATTTAGCAAATGAATATTCAAAAGTGATATTTTTTGCTCATAATGTTTTGGGTCTTTAACTCACAATTTACAAAGAAAAATTGACATAGAGAGTCTAGTTATGTTCAGTTTCCAAGGTTTTGCTTCTGTTCTAAGCACTGATTCCATCTGGTTCCTGTTTCAAAATGGGAGTTCTTTAGGAGGGAGCATGAGCAGCATCCGTAGTGGAATAGTGTTTAACTGGGTTTAACTGTTTCTTCATTGAGGGAGTCTGATGTTTTGCTAAAACTTATACTCGATAACAGATTTTTTTTTTTTAGTATACCAAGAAAAATATAGTCTGTTTCATAAATAACTTGAGCTTCTTTGATTTCACTGGTAACTTCTTTTTCTTTTCTTTTCTTTCTTTCTTTCTTTTTTTTTTTTTGAGACAGAGTGTCCCTCTGTTGCCTAGGCTAGACCACCGTGGTGTCAGCCTAGCTCACAGCAACCTCAGACTTCTGGTCTCAAGCAATCCTTCTGCCTCAGCCTCCCGAGTAGCTGGGACTACAGGCATGCGCCACTGTGCCTGGCTAATTTTTTCTATATATTTTTAGTTGGTTAATTAATTTCTTTCTATTTTTACTAGAGATGGGGGTCTCATTCTTGCTTAGGCTAGTTTCGAGCTCCTGACCTTGAGTGATCCTCCCACCTCAGCCTACCAAAGTGCTAGGATTACAGGCATGAGTTACCTACTGGTAACTTGTTATTTTATAAAATGATAGGAATTAGGATGTGAAAATAGAAGGCTTGTCTGGAGATCCTCCAAGTTAAATAGGACTAAGCTACATTCTGTCACAGAGTGTCTTTTTGTGAGTTGTGTGATCTCTGGGCTAATGTTTCTAATTGTAATAAGTCTTATGATCACTCCCAGTGACTCAGAATTGTCTCAGAGTGCATGAGAAGCATGAACATTTTCATGTGTTAGGTATTTGTAGATAATTACACTTTAAAATAAAATGAACACATTTATATTGTTGGTAGTGCCTGAGAGAGTGTTCAAGACTGAGGGGTAGCACCAGTTCTCTGTCCTTCTCAGTTGACAAGCCAGTTCCCTGTCTTTGGCTTCCTACTGGAATTGAGGAAGAGGATACACCCAGGTTCTTGTGGGACATTTTGGGAAACCTAGTTGCAAAATTCCCAGTTGATATTTCTTAGGTGCATGGAGAACTTGTAAAAAAATTTTAGAAACGAGAAAGATTCAGTCTGTGTAATTATTTTGTGGAGAACAACTTATTTATGAGGGGCCATTTTATAATGAAAATATGGGAGAGGTTAGAGTAATCAAAATCTACCAACCCAGTTTGAAAGATCTGAAAGCACATTTATGGTAGAGAGAACAATCTCTGAAACATCATGAAGAAATTTAAAAATAGAATGTGTTTTTAAAAATTAAAAAAAAACCCCTCATTTATGTTTTATAGTGAGTTTACTGTATGTAGAATTGTAGGTACTTTATGCTATTAGCTTGTGCTATACATTTTACCCAGATTGCATAAATAGCTTTAGACACCGTGTGCCCAATGTCTTAAAACATTGAAACAAGGCATTGCATAAGCAGACTCCCCTTCATATTTATGTATTTTTTTCTAAAAAAATAAAGCCCAGTGTTAATGTCTCTTTTCAGTAGTTCTAATGATTAGACTTTTATTTGAATGCATAGAAAATGTCATCCTAAAATAAAAAGTTGAGGAAGTTGAACAGTCCCCAAGTGCGAATTCTTCCTGTTGTAGGAGATGAGATGCTGCCTGCGACTGCAGGGTGCAGCTGCAGTCTGTCTGGTCTCCTTTAATGTGGGCCACCACTGGTGGTGGATAGATTGGACTGAACACACTGTTTCTCTCTTGGATTTGGTTAGCAGTCTGGACCCCTCTTGAGCATTTCAATTATTTCTCGTAAAGAAAAATAAAATTATGTGAAGACTGGAAAAGTCAGAAAAGTGTACTGAAATGCTCTTACTTTTTGGCAAAGCAGATGTTTCTAAACAAGAGAGATGTGTAAACTGACGTCTGCCTCTTTGGACAGGGAGACGGGCGGTGAGAAGTTACAACTCTAAAGCGAAGCTGTCATCGTGTGACCTTTGCAGAGACGTCCAGGGCTGCAGTCCTTGTGAGGATGGAACTTCGGGCTCCCTTCATCGCTCTTCAGTCATTCTTGTCATCTGTTTCACGCTTCTGTGCTCTTTGCGACATTGGCTGGAATTTATTCTTTAAGGAACCCACAGAACACTAACATTTCCAGAAGTCACATGTGATTGTTTTGTTTTCACAATCAAATATTGCTTCCAACTGTTTTGAAAACCAGTTTTTTCTCTAGGGGGTTGAGAGGGGTGGTGTCCATCAGGTCCTAGTCTGTACAGCTGCGTAGATTTCTTCACCTGATCTTTGTGTGGAAGAAGATCAGAGTGATTACAGTTGTATGTCTATATTTCCCCCTCTCCAAATCTTTTAGGATTTTTTTTTTGAGGTGTTTGTTTTCTCTAGAATAAAAGTATTATTTTAGAATAGTTGCTCTTCTTGTTTTGTAAAAGAAATGAACCTGGGTTCTCAAGCATTATTATGTATCAGTGTTTGTGTTGGTATTGAAGATGAATTTCCCTGGGAACTGGGAGAAAACAAGCCGCAGGAGGATCTTGTTTTGTTCCCTTCCCAGTGGTCCCAGTATCTACTTCTTAACTGGATATTAATTCCTTCTTTATAGATTTTTTTTTTAAAGTGAAATGTTTTTTTTCTACTCCAAATCTGATCACATACCCCTTCCTTTACCCTCCCTCTCTTTTTCTTCTGGAGAAAAGAATGAGGGGGCCATGTGTTTTCCTGGGCTTTGCACACTGGCTCAGAGGGTGAGGAATGTACTGACAACTGCCCTGAGGGGTACTGGGTGTGCTCTCTCCCTCCCACGCCATCAGTCCCAGCACTGGCTCTATTTCGGGGGTGAGAGTTGGAGAGCATTGCAATATGTGCCTTGTGTGACTTAGACTAGAAGAACCTAGACTAGGAGACACTGTGAGCCAGGGGTACAACAAGTACTATGTGAGTTGCAGTAGGCTCACCTCCCTGTTGTGTGGGAAAGAAGTTGGGGTTTGCAGGGATCAGAGAATCTTGATGTGACTGCTGATCTAAAGTATTATAGGATGTTGGCCAGGGATCCTGTAGAACTTCTTCTAGGCTCAGGGGTCTGAGTGTCAGACTGCCAGCTGTCTGGTGATATCTGATGCTTGCTGTCAATCTCTAAGAATATTCCTGAATTCCAAGCACTTTAATCATTGGGTACCCTGTATTCTGAAGGGTAATATTATTTATCCAGGAGAAAATTTTAAAGAAAAATCTGTTTCCTTCCCCCCTTTTCTCCCCTCTTTCTCTCTTCCTTCATTCTTTTTTTCTTTTCATCCCTTTTCTTCTTTCCCTTTTAAATGTATTGAAATAATTTAAATATATAAAAAAATTAAGGATCTTTTACCAAATCTAGGAAATGCTTTAATTTTGCTCCTTTACCTGCATGGCATTTCTTTCAAGTGGGCACGAAGACAGTAGTTGCCCTGGGCTCCGAAGAGTTTGCTGTATGATATTTTCAGCTATTTAAAAATAAATCTATCAAAAGTATGCAAATATATCTTTTAAAGTTACTTTTAAAAAGAATGCTCTCATTTTAGTGAATTTTAAGAAATCGTAATGGAGTGGATGTTCATGTATTACTTCTGGATATTTTGGATACCAAGGCAGGAATAACCAACACTCAGTATTTTAAAGCTTGCAAACCTGTGTGTATTAATAGACAATAGATCCTCAGAGAGTGGTCTAGGAAGACCGTGGTTAAGTAACAAATACATAATTTTTTTGTATTTATTTTTAAGTAGGGAGAAGCTTTTAGTGTGCTGCACCTTTGACACAATTGTGCTAAAAAGGCACTTGTGTTTGGGCCTCCCTGTAATGGTGTCTTTGGACTTTATACTCTGGGACTTATTTAGATGTGAAATTATAATGAAGTTGGGAAGGTTCTTGGCAAAGGATGTCCCCCTCCTCTGCCCTGCCCAGGGAACCATATACTGACCATGAATACCTTATATTTTTCAGTACATAATTTATGGCGACCTTCTAGTGTAACACACTAGGAAAGACTAGCATAGAAAGGCCATTAGAAGACAGGTTGTATTTTTTTTTTTAGAGCATGTTTCTTCATATAAAAACTAGAATTCGAATGCTTTTTTGTGAAGTACTTCATATGTTCAGGTTAAAAGTCACCTTGTAAGTCATCTCTTTTTATTATAAATTGATTAGAAATGAGGAGCGGGGAGAGGAGGAGAGAGGGTCAGCCAGCGCTGCCTCAAGGTACGTGGGGCGTGGAGAGGTCCTGGCCCTTTGCTCCCTCACATCTCTCTTAGAGAACTTGCTCTGCCACAGGCAGTGGGTTTGGACTAGAAGTGATTAAAAAGCCACAGGCATGAGGAGAAAAGGAATACATGTGGTAGTAATAGTTAATCAGTAGTGTAGATTATTTGATTATTTTCTTCACATGCTATGAGTAATGTTAAAAACCTCATTTTACCTTTCAGATTGCTTATGCCTCTGCTCTTCCATTTAGAATGCTGTCAATTTCATTTACTGGTAGGATCTAATTGAAAGTCCCCTTCTTTTCCTATGCCTGGGAACCTTATTAACACACCAGTGTATCTCACTTCCCTTTTTGACCAGCCAGTGGTTCCAGAGACTAAATGTTGGAGATATAGCCAGTCACCAAACTATTCTAGGGCAGCACATCACTTTTATATTTGGTTTCTCACCATTTATTACTTTTAGTTATAGTTCTAAAAAAAAATTAATGCCCAGTTAATGAAATGCTTCTTTTTATTATGTTGTTCTATAACACTTTGTTTTTCAAAATATTCTAAAAATAGTATTTCATATTTTGGTTATATTATAATCTAAGGAACATTGTGTTCATAAAGAATCCAGATATACATGTATTATCTAGCGGTTTGGTACTTTTATATGCAATGCTTTACCTTGCATGTAGGAATTTTCAGAATTGTAGACAGCATAACTCTTCCTGCTCTTATTGTCTTGAGTGTGGGTATACTTATTTTTTTAAAAGTCATATTTAGCCTTAATTTCTTTTTATGTTAAATATACTTATAAATAGTGTGGCAATATAATGCCAACAATGTTTATTTTGACATAATTCAATTATTTCATTTGATATTTCTAGCTGTCCCATGACATTTAAAAAATTAGAACTATGATTTTTCTTTGTCATTTATTTTTTATAGAGCCATTTTATTAACCTGCTGGCATATAATCTGGAGTTCTTTATAATAACCTTATTTTTTCTAATTTGCTTTATTGAACTATTGAATACTTATTTCTATAAAAATATGTTGTAAATACACCCTTGGCAAGATTTCTCAACATAAAAGCAGGGATTATTTTGAATCTACCAAGTGGCTACCGTGGGTCAAGGTGCCATTAAATATTCTTGGGTGCTTTATTTTCTCTCACATTGTAAATTTAAGACACTTATAGTAAGTGGATAAGCTTTAAAACCTTTTACATTCTCAGAAGAGGCTTCTGTTAGACAGGCAGAAGAGTATATTTCTCACTTTTCTTTGTCTTCAAATTCCAGTAAGGCATAGCACTTTTAAGAACTTAAAATTTTTCAATCATCTATTCAAATTATATTTATGTTAATATTAAATATCTTCAGTTACATTGGGAGTAATTTGAGGTGCAGTTATTTTTATCACTACTTTGAATAGAGGACCATTATCTTACTGCTCAGAAAACTAAACAGTAAATGTAATTTTTTTTATTAAGTATGTATCAATGAGAGTAGGCTTTGTTTTAGGACTATTTCTGGCCCATGAGTTGTGTTTTCATGCACCTCATCAAAAGACAGTACCACACTGCATCATTTTATAAAATACATTGTCATTTTCATTTCAATTGTAACATGGGAAAATAGATATTTCTTAGATGATTTCTGGGTGTCACACTTCAAAGGATGCTTGCTTATACATCGGTATGCGTATGTCTCTGTAGTAGGGATGGTTTTGATTTATGTGTTGCTACATATTTAAGAATCATTCCTTTTCATGTTGTCATGAAGCCAAGATTTACCACTCTTTTGCCCAGTGTATTGAATTGGTGGCAGAGGGTAGCTTCATGTTCCATTTGTATATCTTTAAGATTTATCTTTGATAACGTCAACAGAATGTGGCTTGATTCTGGTCCTTCAAGCCTTCATGTTTTGGGTATTTAGAAGGATGCAGTTGATGTGGGGTCAATCACTTTTGTACACAGGAAACTTTATAAAATTTCATTTATAAATTCCCTGTTGTGGGAGGTTGTTTTGCAGATAAGAAGAGTACTATTGAAATAAACATTATTTTTCCAGGAACTAAAGCTTTATATATTGATTGAGATGATTCTGAAAGTTTTAATTTTACATGTTGCAATGTTATTGTTAATTGTACTCTATTATGTATTCAGTAGACAATCATGATTCATCAATAAAAATTTAAATTCCCCTCTATTTATTGTATGTTCTTTCTATTTTAGGATAAAGCATATCTATAGCACATCTCCCTTACTTAAACTTATTTATGAGAAATGGTGTGTATGAGGGTAGCTTAGAGTAGGTATTACTGTGTTACAAAGGCTTGATATATGGATGAGAGTTGAGAAACTTGATCACCATCCCCCTTCATCTCCCTGCTCATTCTTTGCTTTAGGTGCTGGGCTGGCCGATGGAGGATAGGTGATACACAAATAAAAAAATAATTGTGTGAGGTGAGCACTTATGCGACTTTTGGAAATTATATAGAAATACAGAATGCATAGTTTGTATACACACAGGAAAATGGAGGGACGGATGGTTGCATCCACAGTGTGACATTTCAGGTGCATTTTGGTTCCCACCCAGTGTTATTTTAACACTTCTCTTCTTGTGAGTTTTCTGGGCTTCTGTAACATGTCTAAAGATAGCATAGTGGTTGACAATTGGTGGTGAGTTTTGTCCCCTGGGTGATGTTTGCCAATGTCTGGACACAGTTTTGGTTGTTGCAACCGGAGGTGGTGCTATTGACATCTAGTGAGTAGAGGCAGGGAAGCTGCTCAACAGCTACAACGCACAGGACAGCCCCCCAACATGGAATTATTTGTCAGGCACTTCTAGACCCCCTCATAATGTAAATTAACTTAATATGATTAACTAAATGCATCCTTATACAACAATAGAGTCATAGAATCACTGGACAGATATTTAGATTAAAAAATAAGTTTAGGCTGGGCGTGGTGGCTCACGAATGTAATCCTAGCACTCTGGGAGGCCGCGGCGGGTATATTGTTTGAGCTCAGGAGTTCGAGACCAGCCTGAGCAAGAGTGAGATCCCATCTCAAAAAAAAGAAAAAAAAAAAGAGAGAGAAAAATAAAAAATAAATTTATGTCCCAACCCTAGCTTACAGACTGGGAAAATATGTTGTCATTATTTTTTTTGAAAATTTCTATA